CATCTGCCATCAATATCAAAAAAACAAATAAACCCCTCCCCCCCTCCCAATATCCTGCAACGACGCCCGTCGTTAAGACACAACTAAAGCGCGAGCGAGCGCGGTCGTTATTGGCGCCAATCGTCATAGCGCCACTCCGTAAAACGAGCGCTCGCACTGCAACCGCAGACACCGAGGGAACAGCTAGCAACAGCGGAGCGTAACGACCGAGCATCCACGTTCGCGAGCGGATAACATCGCGCGGGATGATTTATCGCCCTGGTAACTCATCTCGCCGCCGAAGAAAGACGGCGACTGAGGGGCCGCGGAATCGAGGCAGAATTAATTTCGCGCAACAGTCTACTATCCACATGGGACTGGCGTCGCATAGGTCTTGTGCGCGAGTAATAATTGCCAGAAACAGTTTTATATTTTTATTTTATTTTATTATTTAATTTTATTTATTATTTATTTAATTTATTTAATTAATTAATCAATTTTAATCAATTTAATCAATTTTAATCAATTTAATCATTTAATTTATTTAATTTATTTAATTTATTTAATTTATTTAATTTATTTAAATTTATTTAATTTATTTAATTCATTTAATTCATTTAATTCATTAATTCATTTAAATTCATTTAATTTCATTTAATTCATTTAAATTCATTTAATTCATTTAATTCAATTTAATTCATTTAAATTCATTTAATTCATTTCATTTATTAAAATTATTTAATTTATTTTTTTTTAATTGTTACATATTTGTTTAATTTGTTAATTTGATATATTTTGATTAATTTTTTTAATTTATTTATTTTTTTTATTAATTTTTTGTTTATAGTGTTTGTTATGTCTGTTTATAACTCATACATATATTAAGTTGAATTACGAATAAGGTAGCAAGAGGTTTTTGGCAATGGATGATTTGCCTAATTTTGATGCTTGTTCATTTTGGTTATGATTATTTGAACAAAGACAATAGTTTTAAATATTTGTAATAAAAAGAGTTATAAAAATGCAATCAGAGGGACGATTGATTGAACAGTAATTGATATTCATAAATTGTTTCTGAATAGTATGGGGAAAGAAGGGGGGGAGGGGCATTCTTAAACAAAAATGATTTCATGTGCTTGCTTGTTATGCATCATTGTTGCAAATTTGAGTTCCACTTACTGAGCGGAATACATAACGCGGGAGATTTATGCGGCTGTTTCGGCTTGCACGAACGTGACGGGGGAAGAGAGTCGAAAAATCGGAGCAAATTATCGCCAAGGAGGCTCTGCACTCCTCGGACTATTTCCCGGCGAACAAATTGTCTTGGTGATAGAATTTGCGCGAGTGCGGCTCGCCCATCGTTTTTCTTGTCCGGCGCGAAAAGTTAATCGCTCGCCGTCGATCTTCACGCACGTCGAAAGAGAAGAGGCGAACATCTGCGGCGTCGTTATCTGCTCTGGTGCGAGTTCCCGTTTTGAGTTTAATCGGTGACGTTCACAACCTGATGGCGCAGGAGATGCTGCTTTCTGAGCTGAGAAAATGAGTCGTTTTATCGTCGAGTGGATTTAGGGATATTTCTGACTGCTGTTAATGATCCGTGCTATGTATAAAGTTCATTGGATTCATAATGTGTGTTTTAATAGTTGAAGGCAATTCTTAATGTATGAGATTGGTCTCGAAATATAAACGTTTTGATCCTAAGAATTTTGGACATACTTCATTCATTATTTGGTTTGCTTTGGTCATAAATGCCAGAGAAATTACTAATTCCTTTAATGAAGGCTGTGCCTTTCCTGACGATATGCCTTACATAAAAAAATAAGAAATGATAAACGAACTTGAAGACTCTGTTCAACGTTGTTCATCAATGTGAACATCATTAGATTGCTGCCTTAAGTGTTGTTTCTTTGCTATTTATTACTCGATATAAATATGCCTATTTAATCTACGACCAAATGTTTGTGTTGTCCTGTCCTTTCAATCCAGGGATTTCTATAGTTTTTTAGCAGAAAATGTAATAATATTTGCATATTCCGATGCCCACGAAATTTAATCTTAAATTTAATAAAAGTAATTTAATGGGTATTTGAAAATGCAAAATGTTCCACATTACAATAATGTATGGAACAATACTCAACAATATAGTATGAAATTTGTTTTTTAGACTTCTGCCTGGTTTAAGTATGGATGTATCGCGAGTCAATTAATAGACTAAACATGCAGGGCTATTTTTGGTTCTAAAGTTAGTAGGGCAACAAGAATTCCATAACCAAACGCAACGACAAGGGCAACGAAAACCGCTGTAAACCTATGCCTAAAAACATTTCATTTTCATTGTAAATAGTCAATAATCGAATAATAAATGTATAATTTTACTTAATACTGTGAATTTTAGTTTTGTCTCAGTTTGGCAGTATGAAAATAATAAATAATTTTCATAATTGTTTCTCATAGATATATAAAGCTTTTTGCAATAATGCGGGGGGCATGGATGTTAATATATGTTATATAGTGGTATTATAAAAAGATTTTACGGTAATGTTATCCCCATCTTCAGAGCAACATGGAACAAGGGAAAAAGAGCTGAAAAGAATCAAAGTTCTTCAATAAATGTGTATAAATTGTGATGTCGGAATGCTAAGCGTGTGAATATTTTTTGTCTGCACTGCTTTCAGCTTCATTGGCTGATAAGTTTGACGCCCTGTGTTGGCCCGTTGCAACGGAGACGGCGTGAGTGCATCCCGGCGCGTGTGGCCTGGAGGGGTGGGGGCGGCGGCAGACGGCGCGGCGGGCGCGCGGGGGGCCCGGTGAGACACAGTCGGCTAATTGGGTGACGTACCGCGCCGCGATGCGCCGCTGTTTGAATTCGCGAAAGCCATTAGTGGGCGAGGTCAGTCTGCGCGCCTTCTCCGTCTCCGTTCCTACCCTCCGCCCCCGCCGCGTTCCCCACCCCACGTCCGTCGCGCCGCCTCTAAACCTTCATCTCGACTCCCTGCCCGCCCGTTCACTCTCGCACCAAGCCGCCCATCCCACGTTCCCCACCCCTCCAGGCCACACGCGCCGGGATGCACTCACGCCGTCTCCGTTGCAACGGGCCACAACAGGGGCGTCAAACTTATTTCAGCCAATGAAGCTGAAGCAGTGCAGACAACAAAATATTCACACGGTTAGCATTCCGACATCACAATTTATACACATTTATTTGAAGAACTTTGATCTTTCAGCTCTTTTTACCTTGTTCCATTGCTCTGAAGATGGGGATAACATTACCGTAAAATCTTTTTTATAATACCACTATATAACATATATTACATCCATGCCCCCCCGCATTATTGCAAAAAGGCTTGAATTGGAACGATGAGAAACAATTATGAAATATATATATCATGGCTCATACTGCCAAACTGAGACAAAACTAATATTCACAGTATTAAGATAAAATTATACATTTATTATTCGATTATTGACTATTACAATGAAAATGAAATGTTTTTAGGGCATAGGTTTACAGCGGTTTTCGTTGCCCTTTCGTTGCGTTTGGTTATGGAAGTTCTTGTGCCCTACTAACTTTAGATCCAAATAGCCCCTGATGTTTAGTCTATTAATTGACTCGCGATACATCCATACTTAACCAGGAGAAGGTCTTTGAAAACAAATATTCATACTAATATTGTGAAGTATTGTTCCATAGCATTATTGTAATGTGAAACATTTGGCATTTCAAATACCGTTAAATTACTTTTATTAAATTTAAGATTAAATGTTCGTGGCATCGGAATATGCCCAATATTATTACATTTTCTGTAAAACTATAGAATCCTCTGGGGATTGAAAAGGACAGGACACCACAAACATTTGGTCGTAGATAAACTAGCATATTTATATGCGAGTAATAAATAGCAAAGAAACAACACTAAGGCAGCATCTAATATGATGTCACATTGATGAACAACGTTGAACAGAGTCCAAGTTCGTTTATCATTTCTTTTTTTTTATGTAAGGCATTATCGTTCAGGAAAAGCACAGCCCTTCATTAAAGGAATTAGTCAATTTCTCTGGCATATGACCAAAAGCAACCAAATAAATGAATGAAAGTAGTGTCAAATTCTTTAGGATCAAAACGTTTATATTCTGCGAGACAATCTCATACATTTAAGAATTGCTTCAACTATTAACACACATTTATGAATCCAATGAACTTTATGACATAGGCACGGATCGATAACAGGCAGTCAGAAATATCCCTAAATCCACACGACGATAAAAACGGACTCATTTCTCAGCGTCAGAAAGCAGCAATCTCCTGCGCCATCAGGTTGTGGAACGTCACGATGTAACTCAAAACGGGAACTCGCAAGCCAGCGCAGATAACGACGCCGCAGATGTTCGCCTCTTCTCTTTCGACGTGCGTGAAGATCGACGGCGAGCGATTAATCTTTTCGCGCCGACAAGAAAACGCATCGGGCGAGCCGCACTCGCGCCAAATTATCACCAAGACCAATTTGTTCGCCGGGAAATAGTTCCGAGGAGGGCAGAGCCTCCTGGCGATTAATTTGCTCGATTTTTCGACTCTCTTCCGCCGTCACGGTTCGTTGCAAGCAGAAACAGGCCGATAAATCTCCCGCGTTATGTATCCGCTCAGTAAGTGGAACTCAAATGTTGCAACAAGATGCATAACAAGCAAGCACATGAAATCATTTTGTTTAAGATCCTACTATTCAGAAACAATTTATGAAATATCAATTACTGTTCAATCAATCGGTCCCTTCTGATGCATTTTTATAACTCTATTTTTATACAAATATTTAACAACTATTGGTCTATTTTGTTCAATAATCATAACCAATGAACAGCATCAAAGTATTCAGGGCAAATCATCCATTGCCAAAAACGCTCTTGCTACCTGTATTCGTAATTCAACTTAATATATGTATGAGTTATAACAGACATAACAAACACATAAACAAAAAATTAATAAAAAAATAAATAAATTAAACAAATTAATCAAATTAATCAAATTAAACAAATTAAACAAATTAAACAAATTAAATAAAAAATAAATTAAATAAATTTAATAAATGAAATGAATTAAATGAATTAATGAATAAATGAATATGAATAAATGAATTAAATAATTAAATGAATTTAAATGAATTAAATGAATAAATAATTAAAGAATTAAATAAATTAAATAAATTACATAAATTAAATAAATTAAATAAATTAAATAAATTAAATTAAATTAAATGATTAATTGATTAAAATTGAATAAATTGATTAAATTGATAAATTAATTAAATAAATAAATAAATAATAAAATAAAATAAATAATAAAATAAATAAAATATAAAACTTTTCTGGCAATTATTACTCTCGGCACAAGACCTATGCGACCCAGTCCCTGTGGATAGTAGACTGTTGCGCGATTAATCTGCTCGATTTCCGCGGCCCCTCAGTCGCCGCTGTTTCTTCCGCGCAGAGAGTTACCAGGGCAGAAATCTCCGCGCGATGTATCCGCCGCGAAGTGGATGCCCGGTCGTACGCCGCGCTTTGCTAGCCATTTCCCTGCGTGGTCTGCGTGCAGTGCGAGCGCTCGTTACCGAGGGCGCGATGACGAGGCCAATAACTACCGCCGCTCGCTCGCGCTTTATTTGCTGCTTAACGACCGCGGGGCAGATAGGGAGGGGGGAGGGGTATTGGTTTGATATTGGGCAGATGAACGGGCATCCTCGACGCTTCCGCTCCACGAGCGTTTGTAATCAGCCGAAGGCATCTACATTTTTACGGGAAACGGTAGGTGTTAAAGTCGTGAGCATGAAGGAATAACAATAGTTGAAAAACAGACAAGTAAAGGAGGAAGACAATAATTGAAAGTGAAACATGAACATGAGGAATGACTACGAAAAGTAGTTCTGCGAGCTAGAGATGACAAGAAATGAACGGGAAAATGTAGCAACTATAATGGAAATTAAGAATAAAATGTCATAAACAAAACCGTAGAGTAGAATTTGAAAGAAAAGACTGGAGAGCGGAGATCTTTTCAGTTTGTATCGAGCATTAAAGAATCTCTGCAGAACTGTGACACTCGTTATAATCGTGGACCTTCATCAAACAAGTATAACTTATGGGAGCTGTATTAGACGCATTGACATTTGTTACAGGAAGAATTGAAGTTTTTTTATAAAAACCAATAGACTTCAGTTGTACATAATAGAACAGCGAATGTTAAAAAGGAAAATACAGTTTAACTTCGCCAGGTTTTAGCTCACCTAGTAAATTCTATTGAGAGCTACCCCACCAGAGGGTGAGAAGCTTTTGCCCAGAATATGAATAATAGCTTAAATAATTATAATAATAATAATAACAATAATAATGACATTTGCTAGCCGCCCCTTTTCTTACTAGAATGGCCCGTACAAACAATACGCATTTTCTGATAATTATTTTAAAAGTAAAAAAAGTTTGATTTTCGAACGCTATTTTGAAAACCCATGCCCTGAACTGCGAATTACATCAGTGTGATCTCATAGACACGTTACTGTGCATGAGTATATTTTTTGATATTGCTAAATATTTTCTAACCAACATAAATCGTAATGTGATATCCGTACGATTAAATTACGCAGAATATAAAGGAGTCAAATTTAATTTTATATATATTTGGATGTTCCTCAAGATCCTCATTACCTGTGATGTAGAGAATAATTATTAAGAAGCTCTAAATTTTAAAAAAAAATGTACTAATAGAATATCCAAGAATGTATCGTGTTGTAGATCACAGCGTAATTAAATGTAACTCGTGTTCCATTCGGGACATGAAAAATGGATTGAGTCTGCGACGCATTGTCGGGAGAGAAACGTCAGTTCCAGTGTAACATGCGTTATTGGGTAGTATGTGCCCCTGCTGCTTTTCTTCAATTATACTCCGCAATATTATTAATTTTCCGTCTTAAATATGTTTGATGCAATCCTGGGAGGTATCACTAACTCAGAGTTCAGTCTCGATTACTCGTAAATCGCACAACCATCGTAATCCTACCATCATTCCTTGGCGTATCAAACAAAGAAAGGACAACTAATTCGGTAGTAAAAAACGCAGCAATAATGTAGTTTCAGCTTTGATAATTCATCCTTGACAGTCCTATTACTAATACTTCGATAGTTGCATCAACGATTATTCAGAATTTGTAATCGTATTGCTACTGATGAATTGTTGAACCCCCCTCCCCCAGAGAATATGTTTATTATTTTTAGGAAAATATTGTATTTATGTAGTTTTATTTTTTATTTTTTTGCTTTATATTTTTCTACTCCTATGATTCCTCCTATAATTATGGTTGGCTGAACGGTTTATTGTATGTCTTTTCGAATCACATTAGCAAACGTTTACATATGACACCCCAGTTTGGCGTGTCTGTCCCTGCTCTGTATTTCCTGAGAGCGGGTAGACAATAGAACAGAGGGACCGCCTTCGCATCCCGACACGTCATCACCAGCGGCATTCCATTTCTGTTCCCGTCTCTTCTCTCGGTCGCCGTTTCCTGCTCGAACTCGCGAGCTGGGCCGGACGACGCGACGCGACGCGGCCGCTGGCAGCCGAGGTCACTTCCTGCCGCCCCCAGCTCTGCCCCCGCCCCCGCGCCCGCGCGCGGAAGCAGCGCGAGCCAGCTCGGTGCCGCCGGACGGCCTTGCTCTCACTTCGAGCGTGTCTTCGCGTCGGCATGGATGACAGCGACATGGACGATCGGGGGCATGTCTCGTAGTAGGAAGGCTGTCCGGCTCCAGTGTGTTGCTGAGAGGTGGCTCAGGGCATCACTGATGTTACTGCAGTGCCTCTGACTGGGAGGTCATAGTATTCCACTTCGGACGGTGGCAGGATTTTCGACACGAGACACTTAAGTAGTTCAGTCGCTGTCTGAAGGAGAAATCTAGCTGCCGGCTGCTCTGATCGGTAGTTTTCAGTGGTTTCTCCGATCAACACCACGCGAATGTTGGGGTACTACTCTAACAAACCTGCCACGGACAGCACGCGATCTTTCCTTCATCTTCCTTGCCCCATTTTTAACCTCGAGCAGTTACACTTACATGCACTGCACACATGACGGGAGACTTAGAACTTGTGCCGGCTGGGGCGGTTCCCCGCTTGTGTGAGATAGCTGGTTGTGGAAAACCCCGCTAATCGACGGTTGATCGGCGTCGGATCTTACCATCAAGCGGGGGAGGACCATCGCCATCTCCCGGGCAAAAACATGTGCCATTAGACTCTGACGG